CTAAAAGTTAACTATCTTTCCTAAAAGGAACATCCTTCCAAAAAAAAGTTGTTGGTTGGGGGGGTTTGCTTGGGGTGGAAACTGTATTAGCTCGTAGTGTATGTTGTAGCAGAAATAGTAATACAGATGTGTTTGACAGCAAATAAGCCATGCACTTGTTGTTTGACTCATCCTATGAGAGAAACAGCAAATTAAATAGAAGAATTCAAGTTGGAAACATGCATGGGTTCTAATTAACCATAAAAAGTTATGTGCTTGGGAATGGGATCAATGCAACTGTTTGGACGTTGGAGTTACTATAGCGGATGAATGGGCTGTTGCATGCAAAGAAGATGAAGCATTTGTAGGATGAGCAGTATGAAAAACTAAAAAAAGACTAAAAAGAATTTATGAGTTCTCCTAAAAATGCCTTTGTAGCTGTTTGGTGTTTTTATTCAAGTCTTGCTTACTTGCTTATTACTCCATCCATTTCATAATACTGATCCCAAATTGAATTTCATGGTATCCGGTACAACAGTTTGAACATTATTATGTGTAACTATATGCAATAAATACACTATACACTAAATGCAGTATATGCTAAAACCCCAGACCCTACTGTAGTAGGATTCAACTAGGTTGTTGTTGTTGCAGTATATTCTAAAATAGTACAATACTTCAAAATGAATATAATGATATTAGTTTCACAATTCACATTATAACATAATGTGTTTTTAACACAAATCATAGTCAAATTTTGCAATGTTCGACTACCAACTTCAATGTGGGATGAATATTATGAAATAGAGGGAATATTACTCAAGGGTTGCCTGTAATTAGTGTGGGTTAGTCTTAATGTTGGGTTGTTATCATCTCATGTTTTCAAAAGTAACCAATCTAACCATGCTTGTGTGTACAAACTTAGCAGATCAGGATTCACATTGTGTATCTATTTTTAGGGGTTTGTAAATTGTAAATGCTCTCTATTCAAGATTCACGGTCAAATTCTGGGCTTTAGATGACTGTACCTCATGTCCTCATTCTTCAAACGTGTGAATACACCTACTCCCCCTCCCAGAAAAAGAAAAAGGAAAAGCTTGCCTTAAGGCTTGCAAAAAATTACTATAAGGAGGCAAAAGTTTTGTTGTGAAGACTTAAAGGTCCTCTTATTTTTCAAAAATACTCCAAAGCCATTGAATTTGATTGTAAAGATTTATAGGGGGTCTTCTGGGGCTAGCATCTCAATGATCGACAAACAATTGATCTGGTTTCCTTAAAATTAGTATATTTCCCATTATGCCCTTAGCAACAAAAATAGTGTATTTTTTAATGCCTTCTAATTTCTTTCAGCTATTTCCATTATTTCTAAAATCTCCCAATTTCTTCCAACAAAGACTTTAAAAAAATTATTTAGATGTATTTTCATATATTATATATTATTATTATTATTATTATTATTATTATTTCAATAAAATAAAAAATTAGTTTAATGTCACAATTCATAAAAAGTTATCCTCAAAAAATCATATGATTTTGAATGCAAGGGAGGAGCTCAAGAGTATTGATAAATTTTTGTCAAAGGGCATTTTGGGCATTTTATTCTTATCAAAATGTTGGCACTGGACTGTCCGTTTTAAGCCTTTACAATTAAATTTAATGGATTTTGAATATTTTTGAAAAAATTGAAGGACCTTTGAGTCTTTACAACAAAACTTATGTCACCTCATAGGAATTTTTTGCTAAGGCTTGTGTGGATATACACAGTTCTTTTTTTCCAAGTTCGAAGAACATGGCTCAATGAGGTCACACATGGTTGGTCCAGTATATTTCAGTACAGGTTTTTAATGATAGATCAACACTGTTTAAAGCAACACAAATTAAAGATCAAAATTCCCCAAAATATATTCATCATTATGCATCTTGAAACAAAACTGGCACCTATTTCCCAAAAAAAGGTTGAAACAAAACTGCCCTGGTGTGAGATTGTGCCATCATATTTTGTGCCACAGTGTTCTCGTGTTGCAAGCTAGGACTGCCCTGGCATCATATTAGGCTATCTCTATGAACTGTGATTTGGGAGTCCAATTTATTGCAAATATTACTGTATCTCTTAGAGAAATGATTGCATCTTATTAAGGTGATTGTATAAATAGTCAAATGTGGATCGGTAGGGGTCACCCATTATGATGGGCTCTAAGTCTCTAACACCAGATCTTTATGAGCCTGGGGATTGATTGAGATTGTGTCCGTGGTCATTAGGTTAAAGGGTGAAGTTGTTTGGAGCTTTCTATGGTGGAAGTGTGGGTTATGAGCTATGGCATGCAAATAATATGAGTGATGAATGAGTTATACGAAAATTTGATAAAAGACTAAAGAATAAATAGATGTAGTTGAGTTCTCCTCAAACTCCTTTTGCTAATTATTTGAAGGAAAAAGCAATACTCCAAAAAAATTC